CATAGCCCAATGCGAAGACCAGGAGAAGGTGCTTTATGCTTCCGGTCAACTTCAAAGAGCTGCTTTGGACAGGTGGGAATCATTCCAATTTAGGCAACAAGATGCAAATCAGATTAGTTGGGATGAATTCAAACTGCTTTTAGATTTTACCATGTTCCTGATGGAGTGGTGACGATCAAGAAAAAGGAGTTCCGCAACTTGAAGCAAGGCTCCATGTCGGTGTGTGAGTATCGTGACAAGTTCACTCAGCTATCACGCTATGCTCCAGGAGAGGTGGATAATGATGCTAAGAAACAAGAATGCTTTATGGAAGGACTGAATGATGGACTTCAACTGCAGTTGATGATCGTTGTGTATGCCGACTTCCAAACATTGGTGGATAGGGCCATTGTGATCGAGAACAAGCGTCGGGAGATGGAAGTGAAGAAAACAAGAATTCAAAGGCAATCCACAGGTAACAACACACGCCCCACTACACTCCCCAGCAAGAGTTCCAACAGAGGTACCAAGAACCAACTGGTCAGTGGAACATCAATCCTCCTCAACAATTCCCTCGGTATTAGCAAGAGCAGCGATTTCAATGAATTTTGTTGGAAATGTAGAAATAATACGTATTGTTATGAATAATATTGATGCCGCCTCCTACGGAGCAGACATGTTTGTCTCCGGTGCATGCTTGTGTTGCATCTTTTATATATGCATAGAAAAAGCATGAAAAGGAGATAAAATAAGATTCTCTAGAGAACATGGCTAAGAAAATACTAATGCTTGGCCTTAGTTACACATTTGTATGAAGTATTATTTTTTTAGGTACTGTGCCAGGTCTGGATTCTTCTAAATTTAGTAGGATGGCCTAGTGCACTGAAGATGTAGCGGGATGAGGTGAAAACAGCCAGCGTTGCCTCACACTTGGGAAATTACAATCATTCCAATACCTTTCTTGCCCAAGCTGCTGAGGACCCCAACGTGACGCTGTAGAATTATCTCTGTGCAAGGACCTGGCCCGGTCACTAGCTGGGCATGACCGGAGTTCATACGTACGTGCTGCCAGTGTTTTGGTTGCATTTTGCTTGGGTTGGGTCAAAGTAACGTTGGGTTGGGTTGGGTTGGGTTGGGTTGGGTTGGGCAGTGCCTTTTTTTTCAAGAACAGTGGTGTAAATTTTCTTCAATGATTTGTCGCAACATACATGCATATTCCAAAACAATGGAATCAAGGTATTAAAACTGAATGTGCCGCCCCTGATGAACAGCCGAGACAACCAGAAATGGATGAAAAAACTGCTGCCTCTATTTTCTATGACGACCACCAGGAAAAACACAGCCTCTGTTGAATAAGCAATTGGCTTCTCATAGTTCTAAACTCGCAATCACCATGGTATGATTGTTCTATGTTTGTGCCTTTTATAGTAAGTATGAGTGGAATTATTGAACTGCGGTTGCTTGCTATTCTTGAATGAATGATCAAATTGAATCACATCTAGTGACTACTAATGCACAACCCTTTCACCCTGTTCCAGTCTTCTTCTCGTGGGTACATGGTGGCTTTCGCCGGGAAGAAATACGCAGCGTGGTCAGAGGTCACCACCGGTGTTCGTCACCAACATCTCGTACACAGTGACCAGCTTTACCCTGGTGCGCTCACGAACTGTAGAACCTTTTGCAGTTCTTCACAGTTCCTGAAAAGGGATAATTAACTTGGGTTGCATTTTGCACCCTGTTTGTTTCGCTGAAATTTGGCTTATGTTGCTGTTTATGCTGAAATGTTATGAGAGGAAAACACTGTTCGTTCTCTAAAAAGTACTGCTGAAGTAGTGCTAAGAACAAGGCCATTAATGACAAAAGCAGATCAACTAGTGACCGGCATGCATTCGAAAAGCCAGACGATGAGCTATATATGCTCTCCAGTAGTTAATCCAATAGCAGCACAGCGACACGCCGAGACAGACAAATTCTTGGAAACTTGTCTGCACGATGGTCATTGCATTGGGTGTCTTCAGTGCACTGTGTCGACAATTCTAACGCGGCAACTACAAAATCGGTCAACATACCTCCTCGGCATTTTTCTCAGTTGTCGCTATATCCACACGTTGTACTGTTATATAGTACTATGTTCTTCTAGTTGAATTGATCTTGCCAGTTAGAGTATGCCTAATAATAAAATCCACTGCTACCTGTGCATATATTTATAGGTTATTTTTATAGCAGTTGGCTACTAGGACATATTTTATTATTAATACATGATCTACTTTCTTCTCTCAAAAATTTATAAGAGCTTATGTGTCAGCTAGATGTAAACTTACAGCCTACTTCTCTCTCTTTAAAGCTCGCTTATGTCACTTTATTATAATTGCTCTTAGGCATTACACGGTCATGAGTTAGACAACCATGTTGATACATTGTAATGGTAGCACGCATGTTTTCTTGTGTTGGACAAGGGTACGGTCAAGAGTTAGACAACCACCTTTTGTATCCACTTCAACAAATATTGAAATAATGTAAAAAACAAATATTAAAAATACATATTTGAGACTTCAAAATTCAAATGAAAAGAGTTCAAACTGAAAAGCTTTAGATCTCTGTGATACTACAACTTTGAGTTAGGTGGTTCCTCCATCCTAGTTCATTTGAAAAATTAAAACAAATGAATTTCAAGTTATGAGAACTTTAAATAAAAATTTTCATCTTTCAATGATTTCAAATAAAAAATTTGTTAACTACAAAGTTGTATATCTCTTCGATTACTACAACTTTGATATAAAGGTTGTCTTATCGAGCTTGAAATTTCAAAAAGTTATGAAGTTTACTATGGTGCACCTATTTTTAGAAGAGGCCCAAATTACCAACCACCAACATAAATCCATTTTTAAAGACGGCTAGAGGGTCTATCTGCCTCTAAAATAGACATTTTAGAGAAATTCGACTTTCCAACCATCTCTAAATTATAATACCGGCATTTCTAAAAGTAGCTTGGCTTTTCAGCCTCTAAAAATTGTTTTCTAGACGCGGCCGGCTCAGAAACCGTTAAGCAGTTATTGATTAAGCCATCTCTATGTAAAAATGGAGCTAAAAATCGATTCTGAAGAAGGGACTTACTCATAATCTGGCTGCCAGAAAATCTATTCCTTCTAATATAAACAATATATTTTATGAGTATCTAAGGCCTGTTTGGCAGAACTCCACCAACTCCAGATCCATGAAAAACAGATCTAGATTCACTTTTCCAAGCCAAACGCTTTTTGATCCACCGCGGATCTGCTACACGAAAACCGTGGATCTGGAGGGTGCTCCACCAAACTCAAGTTTCATGGAGTAGGGGAAAATTAACCACCACCGCCGCTCGTTACACAGAAATTACGATTCGCGTTTTGTTCTGTTTCGCTGCTTCTCCCCCATATTGTGCCCGCCACGACAGTCCTTGCCTCCACCGACGCCAGCGAGCACCACCCCCATCGCGACCGGCCTTTCCCCTTGCCCCCACCACGGCTAGCCCCCAACAACCACAACCGGCCACCGTGGCGCGCCCGCCCCCAACTTGCGCCATGGCCGCACGCGCCTGGTCGTGGCCGCCTAGCCGCACCCGGCTGTGGCCGGGGATGTCGCGCCCCACCGTGCCCGTGCCTAGCCGTAGCGGCACCGCCAAGCACCGACCATTGCTGCACCGTCACGCCTGACCTTGACCACCGAGGTCGGCCCAGCCATGGTCACAGCGTCATGAGCCGCAAGGGTTCCTGTGCCCGCACGAGCAAGAACTGAGGAAGAAGAATCTTTTTGTTCTTTATTTTCATTGTTCCCCCTGAATATGTTTTTATAATTCATTTTATAATTGATATATATGTTTATTAATTCCCTATTTACATATAATAAATAAACGAGCTAGAAGATACGCAGGTTGACTGGCATGGACCCCCCCCCGGCACTCTCCACGCAGCAGATGCACCAACAGATAACAAATTGAGTGGCCGATCGATAGTGGGGATGGAGACTCTCATGAAATTAAAGCAGGTCGGAGATCTCCAATTGCGTTGTGTACACCATGCATGCACGGCGAGTATCGACGTCTCGGGAGGCTCCTCCATCAGGACCGGCGGCGAAGACGGGTGAGTCCGGCTGCTGCAGACTGCAATTCTTAAACCATGGGCGATTCTTGGGTGGTTTGGCTGGTTTTCCATCCATCAAGAAACTAAAGCGAACCACAGCACACAGAGCAAACCTAGCAAGGCTAAGGCTGGTGGTCGAAGCACAGATAACTGAAGGCGGGAATTAATGCACATAGCAAGGATGAACACCTTCCATTTTATAGCTGCGCGCATGCATTCGGATCCATGCTCTTCCCCCAATTCCCCTTGCCCCTCCGTCAGGACTCTGCTGTAGACCGTAACTCTTAAACCATGGGCGATTCTTGGGTGGTTTGGCTGGTTTTCCATCCATCAAGAAACTGAAGCGAACCACAGCACACAAGCAACGAGCAAACCCAGCAAGGCTAAGGCTGGTGGTGGTAGCACAGGATAACTAAATGCATGAATTAATGGACATCGCAAGGATGAACGCCTTCCATCTTTGCAGCCGCACACCTGCATTCCGATCCGTGCTCCTCCCCCGATCCCCCTTTCCCCTCCGTCAGGACTCCGCTGCAGACCACAATTCTTAAACCATGGGCGATTCTTGGGTGGTTTGGCTGGTTTTCCATCCAACAAGAAACTGAAGCGAACCACAGCACGCAAGCGACGAGCAAACCCGCTAGGCCAAGTCTGGTGCTTAGCTAAGGCAGGTATTAATGTGAGGAAAACTCCACATCGCAAGGATGAGCACCTTCCATCTTTGCAGCCGTGTGCATGCATTCCGATCCACGCTCCTCCCCCAATCCCCCTTGGAGGTTCTTGGACGGAAACCATTTCGGCAGGTAAGAAAGTTCGAGTCTTCTCGGGTTCCTTGCTGGGATTTGGTGGTCGGCGGTTGCTTTCTTGAAACTGATCTTGTTCGTTTTTTATATAGGCGAAGAGATGGACGCGGACACCTTCCCAGCGGAGCTGCGCGTGCTCGCCGTCGACGACGACCCCGTCTGCCTCAAGATCCTAGAGAGGCAGCTCAAATATTGCAACTACAACGGTGTGTGTTCTTGCCTTCTTCTTAGCCGCCCCTATTTCCCCCGATTCCTGATACAATTTTAGGCCAAACGATGAATTTTTTTATGGTTGGGTGATTTTGTTTTTACGGTTGGAATTCTGGTGGTGTGACGCAGCGACGGTGGTGTCGGACGCCAGGACGGCATTGGACATGCTCAGAGAGAAGAAGGACGGGAACCAGTTCGACCTGGTGATCAGCGACATCGTCATGCCCAACATGGATGGCTTCAAGCTCCTTGAGCTCATTGGCCTGGAGATGGATCTCCCAGTCATCAGTAAAGCCGGCCCTCGCTCAAACCCATTTTCCCATTTTTATGCATGCCATTCTTCTGATCGTGCAGACAATAGCAATCATGAGAATTTGTAGTACTTCCATTTTTCTGGATAGATGCATTGAATGGATTGCTTATTATAACTCAGTAGAGCAGCTGGTTATGAATGTTTGGGCAGGATATCAATAAATGATACATATGCCAATCATAAGTCTTGATTTTGGGGTGCATGTGTACAGATACAATAAAGCTAGGCCTTGTTTAGATCATCTTTAAATTCCAAGTTTTTTCACTCTCTTTCCATCACATCAATTTTTGGACGTATGCATGGAGTATTAAATGTAGGTAAAAAAATAACTAATTACACAGTTTGGTTGTAAATCACGAAATGGATCTTTTGAGCCTAGTTAGTCCATGATCGGACAAAGTTTGTCAAATACAAACGAAACATGCTACAGTGTCCATGTTGCAAAAATTTACAATCTAAACAAAGCCCTAATAACTGTTTGTGTTCTAGTTTTGTATGTCACCATCTGTTCCTAAGTGCTAAGTAGAATGGAGCTGGCTACTTATTTTTGTCATTTGTAGCATCATATTCACAGTTTGTTTGTAAGCATTGCATGGAAACTAAAACTTTGTCCGTCGTTTTCGGTGTCCATTAGACCGTTACTTTTTGTTCATAAGCGCATTCATTAGCCCTATGGAAAGTAAAATTTGTTTTTATACTTGTGTGTGTATTTGTTTATATCCAAGTCGACCATCTAAATAGTTACATAATATTGATGTTTCCAGTTTTAGTTACATATATGCTACGGTTTCCCTATATGTAATTAACTTTTATTTTTTGTCGTTTTTGTGCACTACCATTGGTTTGTCGAAAAGAAAATTATTTCGCCAAAAAATTATTGCACGCTCCGTTTCACATCATTATACGCGCCTGGCTCGGCCTCTGGGCTATGTCATCAACGAAATCCTGCGCTTGTACCTGTTCGCTCCGTTGCTCCTGCCACACACGACTCCACGAGTCGTTCATGGACTGCAAGGTCCGTATGTATTTATAGAGATGGCTTATAAATAAAACCGCTTCTGATATAAAATATGAAGGCCTCTATAAAGTATTTTTAGCAATGGCGGAGCTGGAAGGAAAACAAGAGAGGGCTATCAGCACTAATTCTTTACTTAATATACATATATTTATTAATTTTAATCACTACTCTGATAACTATTTAATGGAGTTTTCAATTAGCAAGAAGGGGCATGGTGCATGTAGCTTCGCCGGTGGTCCTATGCGTCAGCATCATTGCTGGGATGAAGTAGGTGGCAGCAGCAACTGCAAGGAGCCAAGGACTACTTAGGCCATGTTTAGTTCGTCAAATTTCTGAATTTGGCACTATACAAAAAGAAGATTCTTCGTCACATCAAATTTACGGTACATATATGAAATACTAAATATAGACGAAACCAAAAACTAATTGCACAGTTTAATTGTATTTTGCGAGACGAACGTTTTGAGCCTAATTAGTCAATGATTGAACAATTATTACCAAATACAAATGAAATACTACAGTGCGGTACAGTGCGCTAACTGCTGATGTTTATTGTGATCAAATCTGTCGCCGTATGCATGTATAAAAAATCATGACATCACTGCAAGGACTACTTGACTGCTGATGTTTGCCGGGATGAAATCTGTCACCCTAGAGATATACAAAACTCATGACCCGGTGTAATACACGGGTATTTATCTAGTACACCTAATAAAAAATACACTTAGGGTTCCGTTCGGTTTGCTGAAACTTGACTGAAACTAGCTGAAAAATACTGTTGTGGCTGAATTATTGTGAGAGAAAAACACTGCTCTAGCTAAAAAAAATAAGCTAAATAGTGTCAATTTTGGTAAGCCGAACGGGGGATAGGGTTTCGTCCACCAAACCTTCGTGCGCGCGCCGCTCTGTCCGATTCCCTCTCCCCCATCTCCGATTCCTCTAATTCTAGCGCAAGACGAAGCAAGTCGATGGGCCTTCCAGAGGCCGTGTCCAGTAGGGACACGAGTCCAATTAGTTAAGATTAGATATTCCGGACTATCATCCTGACGGACACCTCCGGACACTGGCAGGCCGTCATGGATGAGCGGACGCCGCCGCCGCAGAGCAAGACAGCGGTGCTCGCGTGCTTCACGAGCCACAAATCCGCTTGGGCGTACGTCATCGACGACCTCGCGACGGGTCCGGAGCGTATTCCCCGCCACCGTCCCGTCCGCCCCTCCGCGTCGCCTCCCTTCGCCGTGCTGAGCCGGACGCCGCGGACTCCACCTGTGGCTGCGCGGTGAGCTCCCTAATCCAACCCACGCACCCTTGTAGTCTCTCGAGCTCTGTACAATGAGATCCCGGTCTCGCCGGCGAACTATGCCACGGGTAGCCATGGCGCCGCCGCTGGCACCATGTTCCGAAGTCTGCTGAACGAGCGCGCCAGCCCCTGCACCCCGCCTCCCGGCGCGCACGCACGCACGCAAACGCGAAACCACGCGCGAGCGAGCGGAGCTAGCAGCTCTGACGTGCGTGCCCTGCTTTGCTCTTGTTAGCTTTGATGACGCCATCGTCACGTCATGCACACTTTACGGCCGTTTTCCTTTAGGAAAACAAATCTGAAAATACAATAAAAATACACCAATACATACCTATAATCAGCGAACAACCTCCACCGTCCATTTCCTGAACTGTGGCCGAGATTAAAAGCGTCCATACCCTTTCATCATGCAGCCGGTCCATGGTGGACCGCACACACACCACACCATCGGTCCAAGGCCCATGAACTCAGCCCACAGCACAGCCCACAGCCAGCCCACTCTTTTGCAGAAAAATCATCCTGATTTATCTTAATCCACCGACGTGGCGATGTCCAAAGCCTTTTCTTTTTTTTTAGTTTTATATCTGCGTCTATACCTATTTGTTGGTATGGCATCTCCTAACTAACTCTGTGAACGTGAAAACTATTTCTATTATCTGTCTATGACCCTCTTGTTGTATATGATGTATACACGGCTTGGACACTGGTTCTTGAGATAACTTTAGCTAGAATGCTGATTCTAACATGAATAGGAACAGAAATCCTGCTCAAATAGAAGGACAAATAAAATTAAAAATTACATAAATCTTACCCTGAATATTAAACAATGACTATGTTTTCATTTAAATGAAAACTAAAGACCAACGTAAGTCTTTTAAATATAGCTTCTTAAAACTGTACAATTTTTTACACATGAAAAACTAAATCACTTCCTTGGAAACAAGACTATATAAAACATCTTATAAAAATCTATGACCTCAAAGGGTACTTAGTTTTTCCGTGCAACGCACGGGCATTTATCTAGTGTTAATGAAAGGGACTGTAACGTCTAAGAGGGGGTGAACTAGACAACTTAAAAATTCTAACTCTAAGCTATGGCCTCTTTTTCTAACCTTAGCAAAACCTATGCAAAAAGATAAACTATCTAAATGTGCAACTACGGTTTTACTAGTGTGTTGCTATCTCTACCGCAAAAGGAGTTATGCAAACAATGTAAATACGGAAGCTAAAGAGTAAGGTAGAGATATGCAAACTCCCGTCGACGACTCTGGTATTTTTACCGAGGTATCGAGAAACGCGCAAGCTTTCACCTAGTCCTCGTTGGAGCCCCTCGCAAGAAATCCCCCATAAGGGCCAAGCTCCCGGTCGGATAACTCCGTAGATAGCCTCAGGCTTTCCCCACGCACAAGTGGGTCTCCGGTGTGCCTTCCGGCAAGCCTCTCCCGAATCGCTCCCCGCCGTCTTCACTATCAAGCTTCCGGCTAAACCGCCGCGGGCCTTGTTCCCTTCAGTACACGGTGGTGGCCACACCACAAACGCGGTTGGTGTGATCTCGCAATACTACAAGCCTCTCCGATGTATAATAATGGTGCGCGCAAGCACCGAGTGGTAAGATGTATGCAAACCTCACTAAACACTAGGCCTAAACTTAGAGCAAGCGCATAAGCGGTGGTCTAATCAACCTAAGCACTTCGCAAAGCACCTACGCTAATCACCTAATGAATCACTAAGCACTATGCAAGTCGATATCACTAACATGGTGTATTAACACCCTTGGTATGTTTCCTTAGCTCCACTTTGCTCAAATGATCAGTTGAGGGGTCCATTTATAAGCCCCACTGAGAAAGTAGCCGTTGAGGATGAAACCTAGCTTTCTGCTACTGACCGGACGCTGCTGTCGTCCTGATCAGACGCGTCCGGTCGTCCTGACCGTTACAGAGCGTGCGTTGATCAGACGCACTGTCGAGTCCGGTCACTGTTGATCGGACGCATCCGGTCGCGCTATCGCCGCTCTGGAACCTCTTTGGACTCAATCGGTCGCTGTAGTTCCTGCGTCCGGTCGATCATCCGCCAACATCCGGTTAGTGCTGAATGTGTTGCCGAGATGATGAACAGTGCCATCATCGCATCCGGTCACTTTTAGTCCACTGCGTCCGGTCACTGCTGCTGACACCTGCTGTTGCCGAGCATCTTGATCGGACGCGTCCGGTCGCTATAAGGGCCGCATCCGGTCACCTCTGCCGAGCTCGTTTCTTCGCGATCTTGCGTCCGGCTTGGTTCCCATCTTCGTGCTTGCACTATGCTTGATATCTTGGGTCTTCTCTTGTGCTTTCTAGTGTCTTGCTTAAAGTGTTGATCATCGGATCATCATGTCGCCTTCGTCTAAGTCACATCTTGCATCCTATTGAACTACAAAACAATCACTTGCAAATTCATTAGTCCAATTTGGTTGTGTTGGTCATCAAATACCAAAATCTAAAGTAAATCGGCCTATGGTCTATTTTCCTTACAATCTCCTCCTTTTTGGTGATTGATGACAACACGATCAAAACAAGCAAATAATAAAAATTTTAGAATAAAAAAACTATTTACTTGCTAGGATGCAATGCAAAGGGCAAGGTTATATGATGCTAAAATATAGCACATGTAAATATTTTTGGAAACTTATCTTGCCCTTGCAAATGTCCCCATGTGGCATTATGGATTTAAGCCTCCCCCTAACTCCATAATCCACTATCCTCCCTTTCTC